GCTCTCACCCAAACTGTATGCCACTGAGCTGGGGAGATTGCACTTAATCAGTTTCTAATTCCAGCACTCTCTTCCTCTCCATTCCTGGGAATTTCCAATGTCATAGCCAAACCCAGTTGCTTTTTATGAGACTCCCCAGGTTTCAGAGCCCCTTGGCACTTTGTTTGTAAGAGGGGGTACCTATTAAAAAAACTAAATCCAAAATAAGAGGGAACCCTACTATCTAAGGAGCCTTGGCTGGAGGAGGGGGCAGGGTCCTCACAAATAGACAGTGCTACTCGCTCAGTGGCCTGGAGCTCTTTGACATGCCACCTGTGGCTCTTCTGAGCACTGTTCCTCTTGGCACTCACCCCATGTTTAATGAAACTAGGCAATTCTTTAGAAGTTGGAATCATTTCATCATTATTATGCATTCAAGATAAAGCTTTTATTTTTAAAACACTTATCCATGATTATCATATCATGGTTGCACAGATGTAGCAGTTCTCCATATGAAGCTGGGTCAACATATGCAGCTGAATGAGGTGGTGGAATGGGGCATACCACTTTTGAGTGCTAATCTATAAAACAAAAACTCCCAATAATGGGGAAAGACCATGCTCAGAGGTAATTAAAATTAATATTATAGTTATATTCAGGGGTCTTTTTGTAGAAAAAGAGCTGTCAGAGCTCATTACCATAACTCATTAGAATATGCCACACACCCTGACATCACCGGAAGTGTGTCTCGGGAAGTGGCAGATGCCAACCTCCCTGTGGGGCCTGGAGACCTCCCCAGCTGGCCACCTCCTTGCCCCCCTCTCCTACCTCTCGCCCTCCCTGGCGCAGATGAAGTGCTTAAGGCGGTGGGTTTCAGTGCTTCAGGCGGTGGGCCGGAGTGGCGCGGGGCACGCACGAGGTGAGCCGGCGGGGAGGCAAGGCCAAAAGGGGAAATTTCTTTTATCAGCCTGGCTGACCTCAGCAGCCCCCAAGTGACCTCATCCCGCTGCGCTGAGGCGCAAGCGAGGAGGAGCAGGGAGGAAGCGCGCGAGCAAGTGGGAAGCCCTCCCTCTCCACTCCTTGGCCCCCTGGCACTGAAGGGAGGTTGTTGAGTTGCAAGCAGCTCCTGAGCCCCTGGGTGCCAGCGGAGCAGCGGCGGCAACGGCTGCCATGGGGGAGAAGCCAAGTCTGGCGGAAGAGCGGTGGCTCGTTCTTGTCCGAGGGCGCAGGGAAGAGGCTGTTGTCGTTCGCTGGGGCATGACGCTGGCGGTCTCTGCTTTGGGGGGGAAGGGGGGTTGGAATCGTCGCTCCTGCTTCTTGGGGTTGTTGACGGCCACATAGTGGTAGAGGACGACGAGCAGGAAGAGCGATACACCCAGCATGTTGGCGAAGATGGCCAATTGCACGTTGGTCACCATCCTAGCGGTTTGGGATGACACGGCCAAGCTCCACGCTACGTCTCACTTTCCGCCCTGGTTGCTGAGTTGCGAGCAGCTCCTGAGCCCCTGGGTGCCAGTGAAGCGGCGGCAACTGCTGCCAGGGGGGAGAAGCCAAGTCTGGCGGAAGAGCCAGGAAGCAGCTCCTTTCTTGCTCGCGGTCCCCCCCAGTCTGTCTCTGTGCTCCAGGCAACAGCGGTGGCGCAGCAGTCTCTTTTCTTCTCCTGCACTTCCCCTGCCACTGAGCCCCTGAGCCACCAGCTTGGCTCCGTTCGTGGAGGCGGACTGCGGGAGGAGGGGGGTGGACTCGGGAGGTGGGTGCCCAGCACGCACCAGAGGACCTGCTCAGCCACTGCCGCTGCTGCCTGGATGCCAGAGGCTCCTCAGGAGCCAGCGGGTGTGGGTGCTCCTCCGGAGGAGGGGGAGAAGCGCCTGGGCGCTAAGCGGGTGAGCTGCAGCCGGCCGGCTCCGGCCTCCAACTTTAATGACATTTGGCGGGGGGAGGCACAGTTCAGCGCGGCACCCCATCCATGGCCCACTCGCCACCACCCCGGGCTTGCCCAGGCACGTGGGGAGGGGTGCAGAGCGAGGAGAAGGGGCCTCCCGGCTGTGGCGCTCCACAGGGCTCCGCACCTTGCGCTGCCTGGGCGCCGGAGCCAGGCCGCCAAGCCAGCGAGCAAGGCGAGGTGCGCTTGCGGTCCGGCCGCACGCAGGGCAGCAGCAGCTCATTGGGGGTGGGGTGCAGTTTGGCACCCCTGAGGGCCGGGCCCTGTTTGGGAGACCCGCGGGCTCTCCGGGCCTCCTGCGAGCCGCAGCGCTGCCGCGCAAGCTCGGGGGCAGGGCTGTCCAGGCCTCTCCTGAGCCGCAGCGCTGCTGCGCGAGCTCAGGGAACCCGGGGGCGGGGCTTGCCACCACGTGGGCTGCCGGAGCAGCGCTCCGGAGGGGTCCGGCTCCAAAAGACCCCTGTATATTATTGTTTGTGCACGTTTTGGGTGGTGGTCAGGGCATACACCATGTGGCTCTTTTGCTTGACTGGAGTTCTGAATAGGGATGGGATGAACTGAATTACAAACTGAAATTCATCATAAACTGGGCCCGGTTCATGGTTTGTGAACCTCAGTTCATGCCATCCTGCCCCCACGAACCTCCCAGGTGGCTTGGAGAAGGCAATGCCTTCTGAGTTCACTTGCAAGTTGTGCTGCAGTGGCGGTTTTGTTGTTCAGTCGCACAGTCGAGTCCGGCTCTTCACGACCCCATGGACAAGATCTCGCCAGGCCCTCCTACAAGCCGCGCTGCTTCACAAACCTTGATGCAGTGCATTAAACAGAAAGGTTTGTCAAAGTTTTTGATTTGTGAGACCCCACAAACCTTCACAAACCTCCATTTATCTGGCTCATGCCCATCCCTAGTTCTGAATGTGGCTCTTTGTGATCTGTGGAGTGAGTGGGACTGTAGTAGAGAATGCCTCTTTTACTGTTAGGCCACCCGGAAGTTTTTGTAGCAAAGGTGTGTGATAGATAGTTGTGTATGTTGCTACCAGAAGGGGCAAAGTATCATCCCTGACTAGAGGAACAGTCAGGAACCTAAGACAGAAGTCTGGGTTCAATCAGTGGACTTACCCACAGAATTCCAGTTTGATTCTAAGCATGCCATGTGTACTCCCATCATATTATTTGGCAATAAATTCTTGAGGCAAGTAGATATTTTATTTATCCTTGAGATGATTTTTCCCCTCAGATTTCATATAATTCAGGATGCTGGTCCTTGCAGCCATTACGTATGTTTTAATTTATGCGTTTTAACATAGCTAAAAGTCAGTTTAGGAGTGGAACTCTTCATACTTGTTACATTCTGTTAACATGTGGCAAGATGGTGAATGACAGGGCAAAGTTCACTATTGATTTCTGCTAATTGAACATTATCACATGCACACACAAAGAACAATTGCTGTCCTGCTGTATAAGGAACAAACAGGGCATAAAATAGTCAGGCTTGCTGATGGCCATTTTCAGCCATTTTAAAATACCTTTTGGCTTTGTAAACATGATACATTTTACCCCTGGGATGCCATGCCAAGAGATAACAGCTGTTTTGCCTCCAGGTAGTTGCAAGCATTTCTCTAAACAGTGACATAAGGAGATGCACTTGGGAATAAGTGAGGATTTGCAGAGGTAACTGCAGTTTCTCCTTCAGAGTAATAGAGAGGAATATGACAATTAACCTGAGGTAAATTCCACCCAAAAGAAGTCTTTGCAAAAACACCATGGTATCCTCAGTGTACTGATCTCTCTTGTTATGATGTATTCCTGTGTTCAAGGCAGGGATCCCCAGCCTTTTTCAGGCTGTGGGTACCTTTAGAATTCTGACTCATCGTTGTGGGTGCATGCACAAAATGGCTGCCGCAGGAGGGATAACCAGCCAAAAATAGCTGCCACAGCTCTCCTTCAGTCACACAGTGAAGATCCTTGTGACATGGTGGCAGCTTCTGCCCAAGCAACATTTTAAAAGCATCTGCACAGCTGAACAAATTTCCAGTGGCCAATAAGAAGGCTTGCTAGGCAGAAGTCCCACCTGGCCCCACCCACTTTCTAAAAACACCTGGCAGGAACCAGGAAAGGTGTTGGTGGGCAGCATGGCACCCACGGGCACCACACCGGGGACCTCTGTTTTAAAGTATATCTTCCCTCAAACTTTGAAGTATTGCCCTCTTTAGCAAAGGTTATCTCCCCTATATTTTCCTCCTTTTCTATGTCTGTCTTTGCTATTGTTCCTCTCTCTTCTTTTTGTCTTTCACTGTCACGTGTGCCCTTTTGATCTCCACCCTTCCCCATGGCAGTTTCATGGTGGAATTTATTTCCTGAGACAGAAAGAAGCCTTAGAAAAAGCATAGTGATTATATGGAATGATGTGGTTGAGGCCAAATTGTTCAACAGGAGTAAATAAATGAGTGACAAATGATCCCAATTACTGCTCATGCAGAAAAAAATAAATATTTCTTAGATGCTGTTCTAAACCCAGGGCGTTTTGGCTTCGTTGCTATTCAGTGTGAGAATGAATAAGTGGTACTCATCCATCCAGATTCACATATGTGAAGTGGCTGTCCTTAATGCCACCTGTGTGGTATTGTACAGTCGGTAGCTGGCTCGTACATTTTTCATTGTTCTTGCCTGCATTAATTTGTGGGTTATTCTTTATAGCCTCTTTCGCCAATAGCTTGTCAGAGTATGTTTCCACACAAAATGAATTGCTTTGGGAAGCTGATTATGGTAATAATACCCAGGGTTTTTTCCCCAGCAAAAATTGCAGAATGCTTTCAGAAAAGCAAAGAGAAGGCATGTTGCTTTTGCGGAGGCTGTCACATTAGTGTATGGAGTCTTCCTCTTGCCCTGCCCTCCTCCCCCCCTCCCCCAAACAAATACGATAACTGTAGTGTGTGTGTGTGTGTGTGTGTGTATGTGTGTCTGTGGCACAGAAGCACAGTAATGTGTGTGCTATTCACATATTGCCAATGCATGTGGGTATGCCACAGAAGCATTGTAATGGGATGAAAATAATCTAAGAGCATTCCTCCTTTTTGTCTCACAGGTATTGTCCGTGCCTCCAGTGTATTTCCTATACTAAGTACAGTATTACTGTTACTTGGAGGGCTCTGTATTGGAGCTGGGAGGATTTATAGCAGCAAAAACAACATTATCCTCAGTGCTGGGATTCTTTTTGTTGCAGCAGGTATGTTGTTTCTAACGTGGTATCTTTTATTTTGTATGTGTTTCAGCTTTAGTTTTTAACTTCAGTTTTTAACTTGTACGGGACGGTGGAATGATGACCCAAAAAGTCACCCCTCATTATATCCTCACAATGAACCTGTAAGGTAGGCTAGGCTGAGCAATGAAGTTGGAACCAAGATCATTATGCTGACTTGGAATTTGCATAACATTACTGGCATTGTAGCCTGTGTCACTCACAAACCACTCTGCACCATCTTGTCTTTAGCATCAATTTTTTCTGAGATGCTTGCATCCTTCGTATAACTGCCACAATGCAGTTATTCTAAAGGTACACCTACAGGCAGTTGTTGATTTTGCTCGTTTCCATGTTGGCATCTGCAGAAAACCTTGCTCAGATGAGCAAAGCTGTCATGGAGGTGCGTAGCGGGAGAGACAGTCTTGCAGATATGAGGGTCCAAGGCCATGAAGGGTTTTGTATGCAATAGCCAATACCTTAAATTGAGCCTGGTATTTGATGGGCAGCCTTTGGAATGACTTTAGAATAATATGCATGCTTTGTCTAACTCCCAGTAATAACTGAGCTGCAGCATTCTGCACCAGTTGGAGTTTCTGAATTGATTTTGAGGGGAGACCAATGTGCAGTGCCTTACAGTAGTCTTGATGTTACTGTGGCGTGGATCCAGGTGTCCAGATCAGTCATATCAAGTTAAGGGGCCATCTTTTGGGCTAGGCTGAGTTGGAATAAAGCCTTTTTTGCAGCTGCATTAACTTGCTTCTCCAGCAATAGCATTGGATCCAGTATAACCCCAAGGCTCTCAACTAAGTCAGTGGGAGTAGCCAAACTCCATTAAAAGTGGGGAGCACAATCTCCTTCAAAATCTCCACCTTTGCAACCACCATTACCTCTGGCTTTTCAGAATTAGTTTCAATTTTTTCAGTCTTAGCCAACTTACCACAGCAGTTAGCAACCAGGCAGCAATTTGGGACCTGTACCTCATCACCAGGAGACTTGGCTAAAGATATATACAGCTGAGGTTTTTCTGAATTTTGATGACAACCAACCACAAAGCTACAAGTGATTTGTCCTAGGGGCTTTACACAGAGATTGAAAAGCATAGGGGATAGAATTGCATCCTATGGAACTTCACAAGATAGGTCCCACACAGATGGTAACTGGTTTCCAATAGCATCTCTTTGAGTCAAAGCCATGAGGAATAATTTGAACCAGTTCAGTGTGCATCCCCTGATACCTACTTCTGCCTCCAAGTGCCTCAACAAGATGGTATGATCTACTTGTATTGAAGGCTGCAGATAAGTCCAGTAAGAGCAAATAAGAGGCATGGCCTTTGTCTGCATTCAGATGGAGATCATCAACTAAAGCTAACAGAGCCTTCTGTGTCCCATAGCCCAGGCTGAAGCAGACTGAAAAAGGTCCAGAGCCGATGAGTTATCCAAGAAGACCTAGAGTTGGTCTGCTACTGCTCTCTCAATCATTTTGCCCAGAAAGGGCAATTTAGAGACAAGGTGACAATTTGCCACATCATTTTTTCTGTAGGGATGATATTTTAAATAGCGGGTGGATAACTGCCTTTTTGAGTGGCTGAGGGAAGATATTCTTATAATAGATACTAAGGGTTTGTTGATGTGGTCTTTGTGATTTTAGCAGCCAGAATGGGCAATGATCCAAACTACAAGTAGTACCCTTTACTGATCCCAGGATCTTGTCGACATCCATGGAAATTAGGTCAAAACAATCCATTAATAGACTAGACAGTGCATTAGGCATCCAGATCAAGGCATATTCTTGGTATTTTATCAGCAAGAAACTTGGCGAAAGTATCACAGCTAATTCTCTCTTCCTGAGACAACAAAGGCTCAGTTTTTGGCATCAGCAGTTACTGAGCTACCTTGAACAATGGGATGGTCATGAACTAGCTGATGCTGTAGTAGCACAGTAGTAACATTTCTTTGCCGCCCTGACTGCCATTTCATAGAGCCAATGGGCTCTATAGCATAATCTATAAGAGTATTACATTTTATGCCATTAAAGGTTTCTGAAACTGAACTAATCTATAAGATTCTAGATGTCCCCTGGCCCTCTTCAGGTTACCCAGTTCCATAGTAAATCAGGGGGGCGGTTTCTGCCCCAGAGGCAGGAGTGATCATAGAGGGGCAAACTTGTCAATAGCTTTAAAAAGCTTCATGTTCCATACTCCCCCTGCTGCCTCAGCTGGGCATGTGTTTGGGATCCTCAAGTCCCCCAGAGCATTCTGGAATCGAGTAGGATTCATGAGCCTCCATGGGCAGACCATTTCAACCTGGCCCCCTCTCATGTGGGGTGTTGGAGCTACATTCACTTTGGCTTTAAGGAGCTAGTGGTCAAACCATGCTTCAGGTAAAATCTCTAACCCCTAAACCAAGCATTCCCTCAATTGCTCAGTGTAAGAAACTTAAATCCAATATGTGACCACTTTCATGTGTTGGGCCCATCACAATTTGATAGAGACCTAAAGCCATCAAAGAGACAATAATATCCTGGCCCCAGCCTGGTGAGGTATCCTTGTCATGGATATTGAAGTCCCCCAGAACAATCAGTCTAGGAGTCCCCAGTACCACATCCAACAATACCTCTGCCAACTCATAAAGGGTGCCCACTGGGGAACTAAGTCACTGGTAGACAGGAATAATGCCTAATCTGTCTTCAATCCCTAGTATAAGGAGCATACATTCAATGCCAGAGATAGTTTTCACTGGAAGTCCATGGAAGTTGATGGACTGATTGGGGGATAATAGCCACATCTCTCCATCAGCCAGTTGTATGTGGTTGGCACAGGACAGCATACCCAGGGGGTGTTAGCTGGGACAGACACACCACATCATTTTCTTCTAGCTATGTTTCTGTTAAGCAAGCCTGCTCATAGAGGTGTATAGTTTTGTGCTTCACTGATCTGGTGTTGTACAATATTAGTGTAGACGTGAAGGAAAAAGGGGCCCTGGTATCATCGACTCTTGGGATGCTACAGAAATCAGACAGACAGCAAGCATCCTTGTCAAACACTGGCTATCTTTGATAAATCCCACCCCATAACTAACAGCTCCCATTTTTGCACTGAAATAATGCACTCCTCAAACATCCTGTTCCACGTAAAGATTTCTCCCAGTTGCTACTAATAAACCTCCCCAACACCCCACAATCAACATTCTAGTATCCACAGAGAAGCCATACAACAGTCCAGGATATAGTCATGATGTGCTGAGGTTAGGGGTGTTCAACAGCTTTCTATGTCAGAATAGTTCCTGGCTTCGAGGTAAGTAAATGGTGTAACTCTCTCTCTCCCCAAGGCGGGGGGAGAACCTTCTTCCACTTGTAGCATATACCACCTGGGTGTCCTAGGCCAAGAGCCCTTGTGCTCTGGCCATTCAGCTCACACCAAGAGGCTTGTGCCTCTGGCCCAGGCCTCCTGTTTAAATGCATACATGGAATGAGAAGGGTAGAAGGACCCAATGGGTGGGGATTCCCATCCAGCATTCAGCTGCCGCCTATCCCCAGATCAAAGGAGGAACCGTCATCTTAATGACTCCTAGAAAAGCAGTTTAAATTGAATGTGGAACCCCTTGCAAAGGAATGCAGGGCATCTTCTAGAGCATATCCCAAATCACATGGGCACTGTCCAGGTTTGTCGGATCTTTTTGTCACCCTGTATGAACTGTGCTCTGGAACACTGGTGTTCACCTGGAGGATTAGGACTCAGAAATAGCTCATGCCCTACCCTAAAATGAGTCACAGCAGTGAAATCACCACTAAAACATGTCTGACATTGCTCATTTCTGCACTAGTTCCATCTACCCAAATTCCCAGCTACCCTATTCTCCCTTACACATCCTCACTGTATAATGCAGAAAGAGGGCTATACATGGCTAAAAATATATGTAGCTCCCATGTTTCAGACCATAGTTAAAGCTAGCTTCTGGATTTGAAAAGAATGAAGCTCTAGGGCTGGATTTACATGCCACTGGATATTGCACTACATGCAGATCTAGCTTAAAATGGATGCAACATTATCTGTAGCTCTGTTTTGCAGGAAAATCAATAGTGGCCCCAGTCACACGGGCAGGAAACTGCGGGGGGGAAGCGTGGCTGTTTGCCCTGGGGCAAACTAACACGCAGTAAAGCGATCATACCTTCTGTGGAGGTACCGTGGAGCTTCTGTGGTTACGGAGAGGCATCGATCACAACACATGCCCGCGCGCAACGAAGAAGCGCGCGGCGCGGCGAACTAGTTTTCTTTTTTTGTGTTCACTACGAATGCGCATACTAGTTTTTTGCTGCGCGGTTTCGGGAGGAAGCCTCGGTTGTGCCACAGAAGCGCTACGCTCCCCAGATGTGCTGGTGAGATCGCGCCCGGAAACTCCGCCTGTCTTCCGTATCTCTTGCGTGGCTAATGTTGCGTGTGACCGGCAATAGTAGTGAGCAAGATATATGTCAGGGAAGCCTGTAGGCTGCTAATTATCATCTTTGAGAAACCCTGTCTCATACATTTCATGGGTTCCTCTAAATGTAATTTGCAGACTATGGTCATAAAGGAAGCAAAGTAGCCCTTCTAATACTTGTTGCCATCCATGAAAGTAATCCTTTGCTGGCAACTGGAGGCAGTTATGGGTGGGGCGGGAAAAGGAAATAGATCTCCAAGCCTAGCACAACAGGGGAAAGGAAACTCAGTTGATTAAATGCATTTAACAGAAACACCACCCCTGCCATCTACATTCTTCTTCCTAGTTATACAAGAGGTTTGGGGAAGTCCAAGGCAGGAACAGATGTAGGAGAAAGAGTCCAAAATGTAGGAAGAGATGCATTATAGAAGGGGATAGAGAACCTGGACTGGCAAACCACTTGGCTCCCTTAGCAACATTACCTTTTCCTCCAGTCAGTGCCAGAGGCATTCTCTGTACACCACCAGAATATGTGATTTTCCTTAATTTGCTCTGTACTTTTCATTCATAAATCTCAGATATCAGAAAGCTGACATATGAAAGCTTATGTTGTGGATACAGAAAAGTTGTTTTACAACCTAGGGCTAGGAGTGAGTTTGTGCAGCCAGCTGAAGGCTGGGAAGAACTACAACATAATGTGGCACAAGAGGGCCCCGAGGCAAAGGAGTGGGCAAAGTAGGCACTGCCTATGGATTAGCAAATGTTCCCTGTCTCATTTCTTCTTCTCAAGAACATAAGAAGAGCCCTGCTGGATCAGACCAGTGGCCCATCTAGTCCAGCATGCTGTCTCACAGAGCAGCCAACCAGTTCCTCTGGAGGGCCAACAGCAGGGCATAGAGACCGAGGCCTTCCCCTGATGTTGCCTCCTGGCTCTGGGATTCAGAGGTTTAGCGCTTCTGAATGTGGAGGTTCATTTGCTTGGGCTGTTTTTGCCAGTGTTTTTGGCGTTGTGCTTTGTACTGTTGATTGTGTAAATTTATGAATATTGTGAATGTATGCTGTATAGGTCATTTATGCAATGGATTTACATTTATATATATATATAGAGTGTGTGTGTGTGTGTGATGTTGATTTATTGATACATTAATAATGCATATATTATATGGGAATAATTCAATGCAAGGAATGATAAAATTATGCAACAATAGAGATTTGGATCTGGCCCAGGAAGCAACTGACCAATTTGCTGAACCTTCAGAAGTTGCATAGAAGGGAGAGTTCAGCCTGTTGTGGCTTCTGTTGCCACTGTAATACTCAGTACCAAGAAGTAATGAAGAGTTGGGTGTTGGCTACACATTAACTAAGCTGCCAGTTCCTTGGCTGCAGGCATCCTTCATGTGATCCATGCTGTACTGTGACTTATAAGTTTTCAGAATAACTTATTTTCCAGCTTATACTGTGAACACACTGTACGGGACAGAGAATGCCAATTGTTGCACTCATATTAAGGTCCTTGAATTGCAGAGACTTGTTGTCTACTTAAACTATGAAACTTCTTGGTTTTAGTGTTGTCTGAAGACTGCCTGTGATGGCAGCACTCTCGGCCATGAACGTCTCTGGGAATGATCACCATCAGTATCAGAGGTCTGCTTGGATGCTTCCTCATCTAAAAGAGGACATTGCTTAAATTAGGGTCTCTAATTTGCCCCTCTATTGCTATATGATGGTTAAGTCTTATGATCCAATGCTACGAATCATCATTTGGTGTAGTGATTAAGTTTGGTGTAGTGGTTAAATGCACGGACTCTAATCTGGGAGAACCGGGTTTGATTCCCCACTCCTCCACTTGCACCTGGCTGGATGACCTTGGGTAAGCCATAGTTCTGATAAGAGCTGTTCTTGAAAAAAGAGCAGTCTCTGTCAGTTCTCTCAGCCCCACCTACCTCACAGGGTGTCTGTTGTGGGGAGGTGAAAGGAAAGGAGTTTGTAAGCCACTCTGAGACACCTTTGGGTAGTGAAGGACGGAGTATAAATCCAATCTCTTCTTCTCTTCTTCTTCATTATGATGATTTCTAACTGAAGCATTATTCTCCTAATGAGACTGTTTTTTTCCTCTTCTTTCCAGGATTGAGTAACATTATAGGAATAATTGTCTACATATCAAGCAATGCAGGTGATCCTAGTGATAAACGGGATGAGGACAAAAAGAACCAATACAATTATGGCTGGTCTTTTTATTTTGGAGCCTTGTCTTTCATTGTGGCCGAGACTGTTGGCGTTCTAGCTGTGAACATTTATATTGAAAAGAACAAAGAAATGAGGTTTAAGACTAAGAGGGAGTTCCTTAAGACTTCTTCCTCTTCTCCTTATGCCAGGATGCCAAGCTATAGATACAGGAGAAGGAGGTCCAGATCAAGCTCACGATCTACAGAGCCTTCTCCATCCAGGGATATTTCTCCAGTTGGCATGAAGATGGCAGGTTCTGTTCCCGTGAATGAAATCTCCATGTACACACTGTCAAGAGAGCCCTTGAAGGTCACAACAGCTGCAAGTTACAATATGGAACAAGATGCTGGTTTTCTTCAAGTCCACAATTTCCTTCAAAAGGAATTCAAAGAAGGACTTCATATTAACATGGTCAACAGGAGAACGACACCTGTTTGAATGGATTGCTTGCTTTGCTGAAACAAGAAGAAACAAAGCAAAAAAGATCTTTTATACATGAAAAGGAGAATTTTGAAGAAGAAAAAAGGCTTTACCACACTACAAGAAAAAATAATGTGGCTGCAAGCAGAGATACTGAAATATTTAAACTACCTGAAGATACAGGACACATTTCTATATGATTTTTATAAGCTCTTTCAGAATTTGTTTGATTAAAATTGTCAGTGTTACAAAAAAAAAATTAAAATCAGCAGCTCCTAGCCCAGCACTTTTGTAGTATGTACAGTGTGTGAAATGGAAAATGTTTTCGCTATAGAAGATTTTAGAGCATTTCAGTTTGGGCTTTTTTCTATATCACTGTCTCCTGGGACAGATTAATCACAAAAGTAACCTAGTGCTTCTGAGCTGCAACAAGAGATAATAGATTTTTCTCCAGAAGCAATTGCATCATAGAGGAAAAAGGCAAAACTGTTTGACACCAGCATGAAACTGTAGTGTATTATTTTACTCTGGACATTGGCAGGGAGATGGACAAGAACAAAATTGAATCAAGAATCTGTTGTTAAGCCTTATGCATACTGCGGGGGGGAGTAATCTGGTTTCTTAATTAAGGTAATTTATGTTGCTATATGCCCTGACCTGGATGGCCCAGGCTAGCCCAATCTCGTCAGATCTTGGTAGCTCAGGAGGGTCATAATGGCATACCATGTCTGAACATCTCTTCCCTTAAAACGGAAGTCCATGATTGCTACTCAGAGTCAAGTAATGGCATGCCATGTCTGAACATCTCTTCCCTTAAAACTCTACAGAGGGGGTCACCATAAGTTCGCTGCTACCTGACGGCACTTTCCACCACCATTTTGCACTTTCGGACCAAATGCATAGAAGTAAATGTCTGAGGAGAGCAAGTCCCAATAGGATTGGCTACAACTAAGTTGTTAAGGTGAACATTGTGGGAAAGGAAAGTTCCTTTGCCACCAGAATCCTCCTTTCCCCACCAGAAGGGAGGAGAGAGTGCCTCACCAAACCATTCAGTCCCCTTTGCATTTTTAGGATTTGTTTGGCCATACAAATGAGCAAGTGCTATTTATAGATAAAGAACTACTTTTTAAAAAATGGCATGTATCTCCTGCCTAATCAGTTAATGCATACTAGCCACATCTAGAGCCAGGAAAAACTTGACTTCCAATATGAAAAGGAAAAAAGGAGGGGGGGGGACCAAATGCATAGAAGTAGATTTTAAGCCCCCACTTCATAAAGAAGAGATGATACATATTCCTAAACCCAGAATCACAAAAATCATGCCTTTCAGATGCCTCATTCCAGCAAAATCTTTATGCATGAATGAAACTAGACACCTAGTGGAATGAAGACATGCTATACTGAGTCAAATCCCTGCCCTATCTGGCTCAGTATTGTGTGCTCCAGATTAGCAGCTCTCTAGGGTATTTGGCAGAGAGCTTCCCAGGCTGCTTCCAAGATTCTCTAGCCTGAGATGTTAGGCAATAAACCAGGGATATTCTAAATGCAAAGTATGTCCTTAAAATTAGTCATGGATATGATGCTTAGAGCAAAACCAGGAAATTTCTCAGAATTGAAGTTGCCGTCCATTCCGTTTAATATCAGTGGCTTAAGCAGCACATAATTAGTACCGTTACTGTCTGATTACATTTATCCGATTCAATTATCAAGTCTAGGGGTCTAAAGTTTAAGCATATCATAGAGTTCTGTTTTCACTTCACAGTCTTAGCTGACCTGAAAAGAGGCAATTTTAGAAACATTGCAAGCTCTGGCAGCTTAGAGATGTCTTTCAAAAGTAGAAATACTGCTGTTTGGGTGGAGAAGATGTTTCTCAGGAACATAAAAATGTCTTGCTATATCCAACTGAGATCTGTTCTAACGTTGTCTCTGGCATTGGCTAGTGATGCCAAAATCAGGCTGTTTCCTGAGGTTGATCTTTAGAATCTAGTAATCAGTTTCAGAGGGTAGCTGTGTCGTTTTGCAGTAGTAATCAAAGATTCCCTCCCTCTGCACAGGAAGGTTTCTTCTAGATAAGTTGGCTAATAGCCATTAGTAAAATTCTGCTCCATTAATTCATCTAATCCTCTTTTTTAAGTGAGTAGCCACCACATCTTATCCTGCCATTATCTATTATTTTATTTAAAACAAAGTCATTTTGCGGGTAAGCAGATTTTATTTCACACTTTGTTAAAACTTCTAGAGATTTTATTTTGCCACATACATGTTTAAAATTTAAAACAATGGTTACAATAAGGGATAAAAGAAAATATGAAGAAGCAATCTGTGTCATAAATGTGTTAGACTGAAGTGCTTGCTATTTTATACGTCTTCTAGTCACTGTAGTGCTATTTTCCTGAATTATTTTTTCCATTGTGTTAATAAATTAATGGGTAGAGTTTAGTATTCATTTGTGTTTGCTGTAGTTTAAATATCCATAGATAGGGGAAATATATATTTGTTCTCTTTCAAAAGATTTATGTAGGGTTGTCTTTCTAAGAATTGTCTGCATTGAAATGAAAGCTTACAGTGCGAACTTTTCTTTTCTTTTCTTTTTTTCTGTAAGAAATATATACAAACCATTCTTCCAGTGGCATCATTTTTGTTAACTTTTGACTGGAATCTGCATAATTGTGTGTTAATAGTTGTACAATTTATTTTTCACTGGTGTCTAGCGAAAATCTTGTTTATGTGCTCTGGGATTCATTTCACGCCTGTTGTGGGGCTTACTGTGTAGCTCTGTTGTATACATGAATCATTAGAAAATAGTGACTTGGTTTAAACGTAACACAAAACATTAACTGTGCTTGTCCAAAGATGGGCCCACTATAGTTCATTTAGAAATATCAAACCAAGATATGAACCAAGGAGTCAGTTTTTCTTAATGACATTTTCATATGACAAAAAGAAGGAACAAGGTGCATGGGAGAGTAGTTTATTAGACCTGTTCAATCCCAGTACATTTTGCAATGGGCTTCGCCAGGGTTTTCAATCTTTATAGCAAGTACATTTTGCAATGGGCTTCGCCAGGGGATCTAATAAAATAAAGTTAAACCACATCAATTTATAAAGCATAATACATAAATGTTGATACAATAGATACAACCACATCAATATATAAAGCATAATACATAAATGTTGATACAAATATTTTGTCCTGTTAAAAATCATTGAAACAAACAAAGAATTCTTTAAAATTTTCAAATTACATTCTGAGCATGATATAAAGTATCTAACATATTCTCTAGTGTGATAACAGGAAATATAAACAGTTTATAGCCTAGAACCTTTATATATAGATTTTAAAAGTATTCAAGATGAATATTAATAAAGGTTCCATATCAAGAAATGTAGACAGTATGGCATACCTTTATGTATGATGTATATTGGTGTGGTTCTTTCTATTTTAACTTTATTAGATCCCCTGACAAAGCTCATTGCAAAATGCATTGGGATATAAACCCTTTTACCTTGTTCTTCCTTTTTTCTCCAGCTTTTCTCCTGGCCTTATTTTTTCCCCAGTTTCATATGACAAAATCTGACAAATCCTGGCTTGTGCTCTGGTGCTGCTCTTTGCCAGGATACCAACCAGGTCTCTGCAGTAAGGCATCTTCCATTCACAGAATCAGTCCTTATTCACAAAATACTTTTCTCACTCAATGGAATGGAAACCTAGAATCCAGCCCAAAAGGTGGGGTTGCTTGTTTGTTTAGTGTTTTTATTAATTTCAAAAGACTTCATCAGTTAGAACTTTGTACAAACACTGAATGCCATCCACCAATAATTTCTTATGTGTATAGGTTCATTTCATTCCTTTGGCTTTTTGGATTTTTAAAAATATTTTTCAGCCATAAAGTGAAGGCTGCTTAATTAAATTATTTTCACATAATGTTCGTTACTCAGTTGTATCCCAGGCTGCAGTCCTGTGATCAGTTCTGTACTTCTGAGCATTGGGTTGCAGCCCAAAAATGGTGAAGGGGGGGGGGACCCAAACAAGAAAAGAATTCTCAAAGTGAAGTTTGAGGCTATATAGCTGCCAAGTTCTATAAAGTCAATTAAGTTTCAATCAAGTTTTGAAGGTTTCATTTGATAATGGAATCCTGCAGACCTTGGATCGTACTGAGGATTATGGCCAAGATCTTTTAAAAATAAGGTTCTTTGAAGAAGATGGGCGATTTTGCTGTTTTCACTTTGCTTTGTGGCTAAATAATCCTTTATTTGCTGTGAACTCTTACGTGTGTTCTAGGAAATTTCTGAAAATGGTATTTTTCCTCTTTCAAGGGGCAGCACAGCATGCTGTGGTTTGGTTGCAGTCAGAGCTTCCAAGTGGAAGGAAAATCATCAATGAAATTTAATTCAGTGTCAGTTTTTCGTTGTTACCACCCGTTTTGATGCTCTTCTCCTTGTGGTGAATTTACAAGCACTTTTCAAAGTGATAGGAACTGTTAAGCATAAGCCTATCAGAAGAAACAAAATGCATGAGAAGGGATTTCAAGTGGTGCTTTAAGGTGTCTCTATCCCACAGCAAGCATGGAATAACAAAAAGGGCCAAATAAAAATGAAAATAAATAAATATAAATAAAAAGGGCCCTTTTGATAGTTCAGTGCTATCTAAATCTTATAAATTGGATATTGATCAAAGTTTCAGAAAGAGAGCACTAAGCACTTTTGTATGGTGATTATTTTAAGGATCAGATATGCTTATACAGGCCATTCAATCCTTGTCATCCATAAGAACACCTTAGACCATGATTAGTTAAGACTGATGGCTTCATATGGCTAATTGCAAACGGAGTGCAGGAGGCAGTCAAAAGTTTGATCCCTGGCATCTCCTGAGCAGGGACTTTTCTGTCCCTGAGACTCTGGAAGAATAGTAAGCAATACTGCAGCAGATAGGCCAATGTCTGATGGTATAAGGCAGCTTCACGTGTTCTTCCCATCCAATAGTATTACATCAGCACTGTAGGGGTCTTACTGCTATG